TTCTTTAATTAAATATTATAGCTTAATTTAAATAGACTTATTAATAATATAGCCAGAATCCGCAAGAGTTCTATATTTATCTTAATATTTTAAAGTAATATTTTTTTTATTAAGCAGAAAAAAAAAGAGTCTTATTCTACTTTACTAAGTTATTATCAGATTTAAATTATTATATTTAAAAGCATATTTCCTATTTATCAGAGAAGCGGGACGAAATAATAACTATTATTATTTATTATTATAAACTATAGAAAAATAGAAGAAAATATAAGCAAAATAATAATTAATTTAGTAGTTATAAGTCACGCAAGCGCTTTTAAGAAATTACTAGTAAAATTATTAAGGAAGATATCCTAAATCACAGAAAAAACCCTATTAGAAAGAATAATAATTAATTATAATACTTTATATATAAAAGTATTCAACATCTTGCAAATTAATATTTTATCAAAGATAAAAGAATCTAATCTACTAGAATCTATCAATCCTTATCAAATTTAAAGAAAAAAATAGAAAAGTTAAGATAGATCCTATAATTTTGACTTTTTTATCTATAATAGAGACTATATATTATTTTTATATTTCTATCTATATTTAAAATAATCTTAAAATCTTTGCAGATCTGAATAGCTATATTAAAGTAGATATTATTAGTTATTAGTTTATTAAAATCTATAATCTCTAATATATTCTGATTACTGCGCCAAAGATTAAAGTTATTAATTAAATTATTACTTTTATTTATAATATATAGAAAGTCTTTATTACTATTACTAATTTATAAAAAGATATTTATACTTTTAAATAGTATTATATAAAGATTAATTAGAATTTCTAACTGAAAGATAGTTCTGTACTACTTTTAATAATTATACTTTATAATCTATATATTATCTTATCAGTATAAAACTGTCAGTAATAATTTAATATATTATTTATTTTACTGCTTTCTATTACTTAATTTATTAAAGTAACTTAAAACTTAGTAAGAGTATATATTATTATTAAGCTTTCTAAAGATATCTAATTATCAGAAGAAGAATCTTATAATTTATTATTAAATCCTAAGATAATTTCTATTAAACTTAAGTAGTTTTAAAATATATTTTTTATAAATTTTTTCTAACAGCTATCTTCTTATAATCCTGCAGATTATACTATTAATATTAAATTTAATAAAATATTTTCTTATAATTTAATATATCTCTTATCCGAAGCCGAACTCAAGATTTTATAAGAATATATTAAAGAGAATCTAAAACTAGATTAAATTTAATTTTTAAAGAGTTCTGCTGAAGCTTCTATTCTCTTTATATTTAAAAAAAATAATAATTTATATCTTTATATAGACTACAGAGATTTTAATAAGATTTTTATTAAGAATTATTATTTTTTATTTTTTATTTTAAAGATTCTTAACAGAATTTCGGAAAGTATCTATTTTTTAAAAATTAATATTAAGAATATATACTATTAAATCTGTATTAAGAAAAATAATAAATAAAAAATAATATTTTATATCTAATACAGCTACTTTAAATATATAATTATATTATTTAGATTAACTAATACTTCAACAACTTTTTAAAATTATATATATACTATACTTCAAGAACTTCTTGATAACTTTTATATAATATATCTGAATAATATTCTTATTTTTTTATTAGATAAAAAATCTTATATAAAGTATATTTATTAAGTTTTAAAGAGACTTTAAGAAGCTTAGCTCTATATAAAATTATTAAAATATTTATTCTATTAATTCTAAATTAAATTTCTAGAATATATTATTAACTCTGATAGAGTATCTATAAATTTTTAATAAATAAATAATATTATTTTATAATTAATTTCTGAAAGTTATTATAATATTTAGATCTTTTTTAGATTCTGTAATTTTTATTAATAATTTATTTAAGACTATTTTTATATTATCTTATCTCTTATTTCTTTATTTTATAAAATAATCAACAGGCGGAAGTTAGGAAAGATTTATTTAATCTTAATTAAATAAACTGCTTTTCACTGTCTTATTACTATCTTTTAATAAATATTTTTATTAATATATTTTAATTCTATAAAATCCCGCTGTTTAGAAACTAATATATTAAAAGAAGAAATAAGTAGTATTCTATCTTAATCTAATATTAAAAATATATTTTATCTAGTTATATTCTGATTCTGTAAGTTCTCTGATATCAAGCTAAATTATAATACTCTAGATTAAAAGTTATTTACTATTATTTATTTTTTTAAATAATAGTAATAATATTTAGAAGATATTTTTTAAATAATTAAGATTTTATTAGATTATTTAAACTTATAATTTTTTATATATTAAATCCAGATTAACAGAAAACAAGCTTGATAACTTATAAGTCTAATTCTTTATAATTTTATTATTAAATATAGAACAAAAAAATTAAATCTAGCAGATAGATTCTTCAGAATATCTTCTAAATCTTAAGTAAAATCTGCTTCTTAAGAGAAACTGTTGATCCTGATTCAAGCATGATTTGTAAATATATTATCTCTGATAATAAGAGATCTTATTAAAGAAAAAATCTAATTTAAATTTTAAGATATACAGGATTATTCTGAATTTAATATTTATATTATATTAAGCTCAAAGAATTCTAATAATTAAGCTGATATAGAGATAGCTGACTAGACTGCTTAAGAGAATTTATCTTAAGAAAGATTTATTTCTTAATTTATAATATCATAAATATATACCGCGGAAGTTTTATACTTAGATATATATAATTCTAAACTTTAAAAAATAATCTTATATTTATAGAATAATAATTCAGAGATATAATAATAAAAAACTGCTGTTTAATAAAAGTAATTAGACTAAAAATATTAGACTATTAAAATAACTAGTTATATCTATTTTAAAGATTAATATTATATTCTCTTTTTTAAGACACTATATTAGATATTTATTAAGCTATATTATAATAATCTATTAGCAGAATATTTTAGAAAGATCTAAACAGAAGTACTACTATACAGAAAGTTTTATTAAAATAAATTATAATATAATATAGCTGAATATATTTAAACTTATTTAATATACTAAGAAATTACTGTTCTAAAGTATTAATTATATAGCAGTCTTAAATTATTACTAATTTTATTATATTTTTTTATTAAATTAGCAATAGATTTTATTACAGGGCTGCTTTTTATTATTTAATATAGAAAGACTATTAATACTATTCTAGTTATTATTAATTAATTCTTAAAATATTATTTTTTTTTTATTATTCTATTTATAATAACTATCTCAGATCTTGCTGAACTGTTTTATAAATAAATTAAATTAATCTTTGGACTTCTAAATAGAATTATATCTAATTAAGAATTAATCTTTATTAGTAAATTCTGATTAAATTTAGTCTATAATAGTTATATAATCTTAAAGCTTTTAACTGTGTTCTATTCTTAAACTGATAGCTAAATAAAATAGATAAATTAAATATTTAAATATTATCTCTGATACTACTCCAGCCAGTATAATACTAATTAATTATTAATTTTTTTAAGTACTTAATTCGCCTGTAATAATATAGATAATATAATTATAGACTAATTATTTTATAATATTTTTTATAGCTTTTCGCTGGACTTTTATATTAGAATTAAGATTAATTCTCAGCAGCAAGAAGTCCCAGTAATATAGAATAAGATTGAGAAACTTAGAGAAATAAGAGAATAGCTATAAAAGATATAGTGAATAGTTATAAAAAAATAAAAAAAATATTATAATAAGCACAGAAAGCTATTTTATTTTAAAAAAAAAAATTTAGTTAAGCTATTAACTCAGAACTTATAATTTAAAAAATCAAGAAAACTGGCTCCGAAGTTTATAGAATTCTTTCGGATTCTTAAATATATTAGATCTTAGATATATTAATTATATTTATCTGAGAAATATAAATAAATTTATAATATATTTTATATCTTCTTATTAAAACTGTAAAATACTAGAAGAGATTATAAAGAACCGCTCCTGATATCTAAGCTAGATAATAAAGATAAATAGAAAGTTAAAGAAATTAAAGATTATTAATATTATAATAATTAGAATTACTATCTAATTAAGTAGAAAGAATAGCCGAGCAAGTATAATTAATAGATTTTTAGTAAAAATATAGAGAATATATCCGAAGCTATAAAATAATATTAAAAATATTATAAAAAGTACTATATATTAAGAAGACAGAAAATAATTACTAGTAAATTATTTTATATTTTTAAGAGATAAGCTATAGAAATATTAATTTCTTAATATTTCTTATTAATTATATTATTACAGATTAAATATATTAATAAATATAAAATTATTCTGCTATAAGATAGCAGGAAATACTTAAATATATTTAGTTATATCTATTATCTATTTATAAAATAAATAATAATAATAATCAGATTTTTTTATTATAACTCAGAAATATTTACAGAGAAAGTAAACTTTAGAAAAAGAATATAGAGATCTATAATTAATTTAATAATACTATTTTTATTATCCAAAGTTAATTTATTATTATTAATATCCAGATATTAAATATATATTATAGCTCTTATTAAATTAAGAAAGTTCCGCAGAATAGAAATTTAGTCTATATATCTTAAATTATTAAACAGCAAACACAATAATATTTTTATTTTATAAATATAATAATTCTCTAGTAAGATATAAAGATTAGAATAAGAAATTAACTGCGCCAAAAAAATACAACAGATCTTAATAAACTTAATATATTTAATAGTAAACTTCTAATAAAATATTAATAATAGAATTATAAAGATCTTATTTCTTAATTATAACAAGAACTTATATACTTGGCGGTCTTAATATTTTTTAATAAGAATTTATAAGTATAGATATTCTCTATACTATTAAATATTTTTATAAAAATATAGATCTCTTCGCGGACAGTCTACTTAATATTATTATTTTAATATTTTTTTTTTAGAATTAGAGTAATCTATTTAATAATCTTTATAAAATCACAAGTGTTTTCTAGCAGATTAATTATAGACTTAAGAGATATTAGTAAATTATATATATATAATATAAAATATATAAAATCTATAAGATTATAAGTCTTCTTTCCCGCGGAATAGAAATAATATAGAATAAATATCTTTATATCTAATAAATAACTGATATTATACAGAGCGCTCTTCTTAGAATTAAAGTTATTATTTATATATCTCAGACAGTATATATAAAAGTTATAGCGGGCTTTAATAAGAATATTCTGCTTAGAATATACTGTTTTTTTTATTATTATAAAATAATTAAAAATAAGATTAATATCTAATAAAGAAGAGAATAATAGTAATACAGTATAAATAAAAATAATAAAGATTACGCGAAATAATAAAGAAATATAAAGAGAATAATTATAAATCACTAAAAAATAATAATTATAAAATAGAAAAAAAAAAGAAAGAGAAGTAATATAAGAGATTTTTTTATTTATACTTCTTCGCAGGGGATCCACTTATATAAATATAACTAAATATTTATAAAGCTATACAGAAATAGTATATAACTCTGTTTATATTATATATCCCGCGAGTTTTCTATCTTTTACTATCAGATTCCTATTATTCTAAATCAGAAATATATAAAACTATTTCTAATACCCGAGCTAAATAGCTTGTCCCAGCAGAGAAGAGCGCTATTTATAATAAAATAATCCAGCTATCGGGATAAAGATTATCGGGATGATATATTATAGTAGTTATAAGAATTGTGTTATCGGGATAATATATTATAGTAATTATAAGAGTTGTGAGATTATTAATAGTGGTTCTATATCTCTCCGATATCTATAAGATACCGATCCCTCTGTAAGAAGCTACTGATTCTTTAAGAATCAGTCTATCTCGTGGATATAGGCTACCTTTGTCATTGTCAAATAAATACACAGTGTTTCATGGTTGATTCCTTACCTAGTCGACAGGCTTTCTACCCTGACAAGTAGATCCTATCACAATAATATATTTTATAACAAATTATTAATATTATAAAAAATACTAATAGAATTATGCAATAAAATTTTTATTAAAATTAATTATTTATTTATTATAATATTTATTTTTTTTAAATAAAAATTTAAAAAAAACTCTGCTTCTGTATAAATTATTAAATATTAAATATAATTATTTAAAAAAATTAATATTCTTTATCTCTGATATATAAAATACTTAAATAAATTAGATAAATTAAATAATTTACTAAGCTGAATATCTTCTCTGTTTTTTATTATATATAAATTATTAAAGATTAAGAATAAATAACAGCTTTTTATATAAAATATAGATTATATAAATAATTAATTTTTTTTTAATTTTATTAATATTTTAAGAATTTTTTAAAATTTTATTAATTAGATTTTTAGAGAATATCTAGATAAGTTTTATTTAATTTATATAAATAATATATTTATTTATTTAAGCAACTTTTTAAAAAAATATAAAGACTATATATAAAAATTCTTTATTAAACTAAATAAAATAAAGTTATATCTAGATATTAAGAAATATAATTTTAAAAAAAAGAAAATTAAATATCTTGAATTTATTATATAAATAGAGAAAAAGATTTAGATAAATTTAATAAAAATTTAGATTATTTAAAAATAAAAATCTTTAATAATTATAAAGATTATATAAGAATTTCTAGATTTTATTAATTTTTATAAATAATTTATTAGAAACTTTTCAGAAATAGTATAATTTTTAAATTAATTAATATAAAAAATATAGTCTTCAGATAGATATTAGATTATTATATAATTTTTAATAAATTTAAAAATATTGTTTTTATCTAATTCTAATTCTATTTTATTCTGAATATATAATAATTATAAAACTAAATTTATCTGACTATAATATAAAAAAAGTTCTTTTATAATATAATAATAATAATATATTATCATTATATATATATTTTTTAAAATAAAATATATTAACAGAATATAATTATTTAATTTATAATAAGAAACTTCTCATTACTATATAAAATCTTAAATAATAAAATACTGAATTATAATTAATATAAAATCTTTTAATTAATAATTAATTATAAAAATTTAAAGTTAAATTAATTTATAAAAGTAAAAATAAGAATAAACAGACTAATATCTTATTATAATATAAATAAAATATATTTATAAATAAGAATAATTATTTTTAAAATCATATAATTTAGTTGTTTTTTTAATTAGATAGATTAATTAATTGTGATAGAATAAACCAGCTATCGGGATAAAGGTCATCGGGATGACGTATTATAGTGGTTGTGAGAGTCGTGTCATCGGGATGACGTGTTATAGTGGTTGTGAGAGTCGTGAGGTCATCGATAGTGGTTCTACACCTCTCCGGCACCTATAAGGTGCCGATCCCTCTGTAAGGAGCTACTGATCCTTCAAGGATCAGTCTATCTCGTGGATATAGGCTACCTTTGTCATTATCAAACGAATACACGGTGTTTCATGGTTGATTCCTTACCTAGTCGACAGGCTTTCTACCCTGACAAGTAGATCCTATCACATTCTGATCCTTCTCTTTTCGACTACCTAAGGAAGATGCCACCCATTGAAGATAGTGAAGAAATGGAAGCACTCAGCGATCGAATCGATCCAGAACCCTCGCCGAATACCGTTCCCACCGTTGAAGAGATTCAACAGCTAGAAGATCATGTTCATCGATTGGAACAAGCTACCAACTTACGGCGAAGAATAGCTCACCTCCAAAGGAATGGCTCCCCGAGCGAAACCTCCTCGAGACACTACCGATCCTCCCCCGAATCAGAAAAGGATAAGGGAGAGATCAAGTTTAAAGATATCCCTCGCTTTGCCCTGAACTTCAACCTCCAAAAACGTCAAGAATGGATCACCGATTTGGAATATATGTTCAGAGGCGCACCCAAGAAATATTCATCAGAGGAACGCAAGATCCTCGCTGCTATCAGCTATATGGACCCAGCATGTAGGCAGAGATGGTACCGTTTCGTGGACGATAAGAGTCCGGAAGAGAGACGATTCCTCGAGAAATCATGGTCTCGGTTCAAAGATTGGACTCTTACACTGATTCGGAACGCTGCCACCCTTCAATCGGATACTATGGCCCAACTTGAACGGGCTCACCAGCGATACGGCCAGGATCCGCGAGAGTTCCATGCTTACCTTGATACCTTGGAGCAACACTTTCCTCGCCAAGCAGAAAAGGAAAGGGCCTTATCCTACTTTGCTAAGCTACTACCGGATCTAAACCATTATATTCAAGAGCATGTTCCCCACCTACCAGAGGAGCGGGACGAAATGGTGGCTATCGCTACTCACTATTACGAACTGTGGGAAAATAGAGGAAAACGCAAGCGAAACGATAACCGATTCAGTGGTTATAAGCCACGCAAGCGCTTCCAAGAAACCACTAGTAAAACCATTAAGGAAGATGTCCCGAATCGCAGGGAAAACCCCATCGGAAAGGATGGCAATCGATTACAATGCTTTATATGCAAAAGTACCCAACACCTTGCGAACCGACACCCTACCGAAGGCAAAAGGGTCCAATCCGCTAGAACCTACCAATCCTCATCGGATTCAGAGGGAAAAGTAGAGGAGTTGGGATAGGCCCTACGATTTCGACTCCTTCACCTACAGTAGGGACTACACATCGTTTTCATGTTCCTATCCGCATCCGAAACAGCCTCGAAACCTTTGCGGACCTGGATAGCTGCGCCGAAGTGGATGTTATTAGTTACCAGTTTGCCAAAGCCTATAACCTCCAACGTGCCCCGGTTACTGCGCCAAAGATTGAAGCCATCAATCGAATCACCACTCCTACCTATGGTGTATGGAAAGTCCCTATTACCGCTACCGATTCGCGAGGAGGCACCCGTACTTTCGAACGGTATTGTGTAGGGATTGACCGGGACCCCCGACTGGAAGGCAGCCCTGTACTACTTTCAATGACTACGCTTCACGATCTATACATTACCTTATCAGCATGGAACCGCCAGTGGTGGTTTAGCGTACCGTCTATTTCACTGCTTTCCGTTACTCAATTTACTAAAGCAACTCGAAACTCAGCAAGAGTGTACGCCATTGTTAAGCTCCCCGAAGACGTCTGGCTACCAGAAGAAGAACCTCGCGATTCGTCACCGAACCCTGAGGTAATTCCCGTTGAACTCAAGCAGTTCCAAGATGTATTCTCTATAAATTCCTCCCAACAGCTACCTCCTCATGGCCCTGCGGACCACGCCATTGACATTAAACCTAATAAAACACCCCCTTACGGTCCAATATACCCCTTATCCGAAGCCGAACTTAAGATCCTACGAGAATATATCGAAGAGAACCTGAAACTAGGCCGAATTCAACCTTCAAAGAGCCCTGCTGGAGCCCCTATTCTCTTTGTACCCAAGAAAGATGATAGCTTACGCCTTTGCGTAGACTACAGGGGTCTCAATAAGATTTCTATCAAGAATCGCTATCCCTTACCTCTTATTTCGGAGATTCTTGACAGGGTTTCGGGAAGTACCTACTTTTCAAAGATCAATGTCAAGGATGCGTACTACCGAATCCGCATCAAGGAAGGCGATGAATAGAAGACAGCGTTTCGCACCCGATACGGCCACTTCGAATACACGGTCATACCATTTGGATTGACTAACGCTCCAGCAACTTTCCAAAACTATATGCATACTGCGCTTCGAGGACTCCTCGATGACTTTTGTATAGCGTATCTGAATAATATCCTCATCTTTTCGTCAGATAAGGAATCTCATACAAAGCATATTCATCAAGTTTTAGAGAGGCTTCGAGAAGCTCAGCTCTATGCAAAACCATCGAAATGTTCATTCTACCAATCCCAAGTCGAATTCCTGGGGTACATCATCGACTCTGACGGAGTATCCATGGATCCTCGACGGGTAAACGACATCGTTTCGTGGCCGATTCCCGAAAGTTACCATGATGTCCAGGTCTTCCTTGGATTCTGCAACTTTTACCGACGATTTATTCAAGACTACTCTCGTATTGCCTTGCCCCTTACTTCTTTGCTTCGTGGAACAACCAACGGGCGGAAGCCAGGGAAGGTCCATCTAACCTTAACCGAACGGACTGCTTTCCGCCGCCTTATTGCTGCCTTTCAACAAGCACCTTTACTAATGCATTTTGATCCTACGAAACCCCGCCGTTTAGAAACTGATGCG